AATAATAATAATAGAAAAACTGAGGCAAGACAATTGCTTCCAGAAATGCGTAGAAAGTGTGAAAACCTAAAATAAAAGGCCTCCTAGAAACACTAGCCAGATGTTATGATGGGCTCCTATAGTCTCAACTGCACGGGCAGCTGAGGCAATGGAATCTCTTGAGCCCAAGAGATCGAGGTTGCTGTGAGCTGTGATGACGCCACAGTGCTCAACCCAGGGCTACAGAGTGAGACTCTGTCTCAAACAAAAAAACAAACCCCAGGTCTACATTCTGACCCCTGTATACACCCCTACTGGTTGGAAATGTCACCTTGGATTCCCCTAGAACTTCTCAGAACATCTGATGAGCTGAACTTACACATCCACATGTAGCTGTCCTTTTCTTCTGCTTGAAGGGTCATGAGCATTATGATGGGGCCATGAGCAGTTGCTTTCAGATGCACTGGGTGGACTGTAAGTCCTAAAGGACTTTAGATTTTTAGAAGTAGCTACATTGTTGAGAAGAAAACTAATTTCCAGTTTACTTTCTCTTTCCTCTGGTAAAGCTATTGCCCTTCCTTCAAAGAAACACTGTTAAAAAGAACAGCAGTCGGCTACTTGGGAGGCTCAGGCAAGAGGATCGCTTGAGCCCGCTGTGAGCTGCAACACCACAATACTCTACTGGGGGCAACAAAGTGAGACTCTGTCTCCAAAAAAAAAAAAAAAAAGAACAGCAGCCTAATAACCATAAGTAGAAATAAAAATTATTAGTTCACTTGATTATTTAAATAAACAGTCTCAGTTGCCAACATTTTTACATTTAGTATGTTTTCTGGAGTGTTTTTCTACAGTATGGAGAAAAAATGGTACTAATTAGCTTTTAGATGGGTTCTCCTATCCAACCAGCTGCTGTAATTATGAGTTTCCCTACTATTTTTCATTCTTTGTTAGGTAAAATTAATCATTATACTGGGTCTGAATGTCTACTTTGAGTTTTTTCTTTTTCTTTTTTTTTTTTTTCGAGACTGAGTCTCATTATGTTGCCCTGGATAGAGAGCTGTGGTGTCACAGCTCACAGCAACCTCAAACTCTTGAGCTCAAGCAGTTCTCTTGCCTCAGCCTCCCTAGTAGCAGGACCAGAGGCATCCGCCACAATGCCCGGCTATTTTTTTGTTGTTGTTGTCATTATTGTGACCCTGGCCTGGTTTAAACCTGCCAGCCCCAGTGTATGTGGCCAGCGCCCTAAACACTGAATTACAGTACTTTCTAATGGTCCATACTTGTATTAACGCCTCTGCTCAGAATGTTGACAGTACCCCTGTGGTGTAATCTGGTTGACCATGGGGACCCACAGTGGAACTTACAGCTCAGATCTCTGTCTCTTTCCTCCCTACATAGTCTGCTCGTCTGATGGTTCACACCGTGGCCACCTTTAATTCTATCAAGGTAAGGAGCAGTGATAACTCCCTTGGATTTTCCCTGGTTTTTTTCAATCTCTTCCTTCCCTGTTCACAGTGGAGCTATTGTCCTTGTCTCTTAGTCAATCAGGTGAACTGTGACATATCTCACTCTCCTGGGTGCAGAAGTGGCTAGGTAGATATCTCCTGTGAGCTTATTAAGTGGGTGTTCTCATGGCCACAGGGTTGCTTGGTGGGCTCTCCTGGTCAAGATCTTGCCAGTTGCCAACAACAGAGCAAGCCTTGCCTCAGGTTTCCAGTGCGGTGGGGAGCCATGCAGAGCTGGCTCTCAGGATAGCAGTGAACATCTTTGCTGCTCAAGGTCCTGCCACTTGCCAGCTCTTGCCAGGCCTGCTCTGGCCTGCCGGTACCCTGGGCAAGTGTTTAGAGGCAGTCTACTCATTGGGATTTACCCACTCAGCACTTGCTCAGGAAGCAGTTGCCCCATGCCAGACACCAGGCTAGGAGTCAAGAGTGAGGACAAGTTAGCTACATCTTCTGCTGCTTCGAGAGGAATTCCTAGGCCAGCTGTTGCTAGGGTGTTTGAGCCATCAGATGTGGCTAGTATTGGCTTGGTTCTGACTTTCTAGAATTTTGATCCTGTTGTATACTAATTTTTTCAAGTAGGAAGGTTAGAAACAGGAACATATATGTGGCATATCCTTTACATTAAGCCGTTTCCCAGTGTCCAGTTGTGGACATGACAGGAGAGGGCTTGCAACAGAACTAATGTTTTGCGTCCCCCTGTAGGAGCTAAATGAGCGTTGGCGGTCCCTGCAGCAGTTAGCTGAGGAACGGAGCCAGCTCCTGGGCAGTGCTCATGAAGTACAGAGGTTCCACAGGTGAGGGGTTAGCCTTCCTCTAAGGGGAAGGAAGCGGGTGACGGGTTGACGTGGACATCCCCAGACTTGCTGACTGAGATCTCAGAGGAAACGGTGGATCATGTTGATGTCTGTGCGCTGGCACCCAGGACTATATCTGGCGCAGGACAGAGGCTCCATAACACTGCCGTGTCAATGATTGTTCTGAAGCTTTTTATAGAGCTGTTAGTCGTAGCCATTGACAAATGTACAAGTTTCAGCTAAATAAATTTGTCCTGTGTCCTATAACCAAGGCTTCTGTACTCAATATTTATTAACCTGAATGTACGTTTCACTACTAGAGATGCCGATGAAACCAAAGAATGGATTGAAGAGAAGAATCAGGCTCTAAACACAGACAATTACGGGCATGATCTTGCCAGTGTCCAGGCCCTGCAGCGCAAGCATGAGGGCTTCGAGAGAGACCTTGCGGCTCTCGGTGACAAGGTGAGAGGATGCAAAGGCATCTTCACATGTGTTTTTCCCCCAGAATAGAACATGTGTTCTATTCTGTTTTCTGCAGAATAGAACCCTTTTATTGCGTGGTTTCTCCCCCACTTTTTTCCCCATAGGTAAATTCCCTTGGAGAAACAGCTGAGCGCCTGATCCAGTCCCATCCCGAGTCAGCAGAAGACCTACAGGAAAAATGTACAGAGTTAAACCAGGCCTGGAACAGCCTGGGAAAGCGTGCAGACCAGCGCAAGGCCAAGCTAGGCGACTCACACGACCTGCAGCGCTTCCTCAGTGATTTTCGGTACAACGTTCACTCTAGAGCATAGTATAGCATAGAACCTTCTTTTTTTTTTTTAGACAGAGTCTCATGATATCTCCCTTAGTAGAGTGTTGTGGCATCACAGCTCACAGAACCTCAAACTCTTGGTCTTAAGCGATTCTCTTGACTCAGCCTCCCAAGTAACTGGGACTACAGGCGCCTGCCACAATGCCCACCTATTTTTGTTGTTGTTGTTTAGCAGGCCCGGGCTGGGTTCGAAATATTAGCCAGCCGTGGGGCATGTGATCAGTGCCCTAACTGCTAAACTATGGGCGCTGAGCCCATAGAACCTTCTTTAACCTTCTTTGTAATGGTCGTTTTTATTATGAAAGTAATATGTGCTCAATGTAAAATCCTCAGACTCCCAAATATGTGAAAGTCAAAGAAGTTTTCACTTCTCAATCCAAGTATGTGCACACGCACACCTCCCGCCCCCTCCCCAGCTGCACTCTCGTGACAGTGTTTTTTCCTTAGGCATATTTTTCAGTAACTAGAAAATACAATTCAGTCTATTATACCAACTTTTTTTTATTTAGAAAAGTCTCAAAGCCACAGAGAAGTTAAAAGAATAACACTGAGCATCCCTGATGCCTTCATCTGTGGTCACCACAACTTTTGTGATATTTGCTTTATCACTAAATACATGTTTGTTTCTCTGAGCCACAGATACATGGCACTTGCCTCTGAACACTTCAACATATGTGTAGGATATTCTCCTAGTGATCACATTGCCATTGTCATGCTCAGTAAATCTAACACTAACATAGTATTTAAGTTCATTCTGTTCTTCCCAATTTTTTTGTCTTTTTGGAGATAAAGTCTCACTTTGTCGCTCTCCGTGGAGTGCAATGAAATCACAGCGCACAGCAACCTCAAACTCTTGGGCTCAAGCGATTCTCTTGCCTCATCCTCCTAGGTATCTGGGAAATACAGGTGCTCCCCCCCACAACACCTGGCTATTTTTTTTTTTTTTAGAAATGGGGGTCTCACTCTTGCTCAGGCTGGTCTCGAACTCATGAATTCAGGCAATCCACCTGCCTTGGTCTCCTAGGGTGCTAGGATTACAGGTGTGAGCCACCTGTCCCAGCTGTAGACCTATCTTTAATAAACAAAATGTAATTTTTTTACTTTTTTTTTTTTTTTTAATAAAACATGTTCTTTTACACATACAGTCACACACTTCTGCAGATGTCTGTCATCTTGGGCATTTCCTTTGCTGAAATGGGAGGAGACAGATGATGTTTCTCTCCTTCACA